GAGATAACGGAGGCTATGTGTACAAGACAGGTTTCATCCAATAAACAGGAGATAAACAGAAACTAGGGATGTTAAATTTCAACTAATCAGCTAATCAAGTACTTGATGGATTTTCCATCGACTACTCAATTAGTCGATGGGGGGGGGGTGCTTGCTAACCCAGCTGCACTGCTGCCTATTAAATTTAGCAAGAGCGCTGTGGGGCTCTTGCTACGTTTAAAAGGCAGCAGCAAAACAGGGGGTCCTGACTGCTGCACCTCTGTCATTTAAAGGCTTAGGCGCAGCAGTCAGACTCGTTGCCATTGCAACTAATCACACCGACCATCCAATATCTTATCATTTGTTTTCATATAAGGCAAAGTCTTGTCCTCTATGCTGCTGTTTGTGGTAACTTAGCAAATGGTTTCTTTTAACAGCAACCACGTAAGTATTATTCTAATCTTTTAAATTCACATATTATTCAACTAGGGCTTAATTCTGTGAGGTGCTGAGCATCTTCATGGAGTTGAGGGTGCTCAGCATCTTAAAAGATCAATCTGTTAAAGATTTGGGGATATCTCTCTATATCCCCAGATTTATTTAGCTATTAAAAATTACAATTTCTGACATCCTCTCTCACAACTACATGAGCACCTTATCTGCCAAGTGGTCTTAAGAGATTTCAGGAAGATTATCCAAAGTAAGGTAGAGGGGCAGCTTGGGGCCAAAATATGATTCAGAAAAACTGTTAAAATTCACAATTACATATTGCACAATGAAATGTGAATACTTTCTATTACCCTTAGGCCTAGTCTAGTTCTCAGATAATCATGTTATAACAGACACAAGAAAGAGATACTATGCAGCAAATGGACCTTTCCCAGCTGTTGCCCTTTAATGTTTGTTTCTCAATCCACTTACTGTGTGTTTACCTTGAACACTGAGACAAGTAATCTGTCATTGTCTTGCCCACTTCCCGGATAATTTTAATGACCTTGTGGCATTATAAATGTGAATCATGACTGCTGCTTGACTCTCTCAGCCTCTCAGTGAGGACTGCCGTTTTCCATACAGATCTCTCTGCGATGATGCATATTTCCCATACATTTAGAATATATTGTAGGAACAGCATCTTTGAAATTGCACTTTTCCTTATCTTGTTTGCTAGCACAAGAAGCCCTACCTGTCCTTTGGTATGATACGGTAAGGAGCCTGAGGTGCCTTTAGTACTTAACACTCTTCATCCACAGACCTTAAATTTCTTTACAAGGTATATAAGAACTATTAGTGCACGTTTACACTGCAGTGCAAAAGTCGAATTAAGTTACATAATTTCAGCTATGTCAATCGTGTAGCTGAAGTAGAAATAGCTTAATTCAGCTTTTGGTGCTGTCTACACAGCAGCAAGTCAAAGGAAGAACACTATTCCTTTGATTTCCCTTACTCCTTGCTAAATGAGGGTTACAGAAGTTGGAGTGAGAAGTTCTCCAGCTCGACATTATTTCATGCTGTGTAGATGTACTCTTGGAGAAAAGACAATATGTAAATTAATTAAATAAATTCTGAATTAAAAACTCATCTGAGTCACTCAAGGAGCCTTAACTAGATCTGCTGTTATCTACTTAGGAAACCATCTCTCTCTGTGTCTCATGCTAAGTGCATCAGCTCTTAAATAACCACCAGGAGTCCCATTTTACAGAGGAGACAATGACTGAGAGGCGTGCACGAGGTCATATAGTGAATCAATGCTAGAGCTGGAAAGAGAACCTTAGTCTTGAGTCCCAGATCAAGCCACTAGACCAGGGGTGGGAGAACCTTTTTTGGGTCGGGGCTGCTGACATGCAGAAAAATTAGTTGAGGGCTACACACGTGAGAAACAAATAAAAACCCGCACCCCTCACGAGCGTGGGCTCCCCTCGGGCTGGATCCAGGCAAGCTGCCCCCAGACCTTATGTTCCCCACCCCTGCACTAGACAAAGGCCCACCATTTGCTGCCACTTCCTTTCCTGCCTACTTAATAGTGAGAAATGGTTAAAAAAATTCAAAACTTTATGTACCCAGGAATGTTTTCAATGGTAATATTTATGTCATGATAATATATGAGACATTGCCAAAAATAGTACCTGTGCTAATGAATGAGGTTCCACGCTGAATCAATCAATATCTGTTAATAACTTAACTTTTGATTTTGCAAATCACTTTAGAGCTGCCTGACTGCCTACTACTCTGGCTGACACCAGAACTGAACTGAACGCGTAAGTGATGGCAGATCATACTTTACATCATCATTGCTCATTACTGCCAACACAGGATATATACCTTGTTCCTTTCAGATGAACTGGTGCAAATATTTTCATAGATCTGTGCTAGCAGTCAATGGTGCAAAGGGAATGTGTATAAAACACAAAGTACTTTATATTAACAAGAAAGCCTTTTTCTATTGTGTTACAACAGGCCAGCTGACAATCTACAGTGGCATGGATATAATGCAATGAGCAGGATAAATTAGTATACAGACCAGTATTCTCTAAAATGATGGTACTGGATATTACTGTCAAACAAGCCACTGCACTTTTACTTAGTATCGACAAATGAGCAACAAAGCAATGTGTTTTACCCACTCTTAACTTTAAGTGATCATTCTAGCGTGCATCCTTACCTGCTCGAACACCTTCATAGAAGTCATGGCCATGCTGAAAGACAAAGAGACGTGTAAAACAATGCACCCTTCTCTCACCGGAGGCCCCTTGCTTTTGAATCAAGTCCCTGTTATGGTAGCCCGTACCCCACTACATTTCCACTGCTCTCATCTTGTTCTCTTACTCTTCTTACACTGCTCTGAATGGCCTCACCTAACTGCTCCCCTGCTTCTTTCTTCACTTCTGGCTTTCGCACCTTCTTTCATGTTATACCCTGTGTTTGGAACAATCTTCTGAGTCCATCCACCCCATGCTCTCCTCCCATCCTATACTGATCCATCTTACTAACACAGCTCCACACTTCCAGTCATTTGAACTGCTGTCCTGTGCACTGGGGTTGATTGAATTATGGTCACATCATCCTTCCATAGCACACCACCTTGACTTTCCATTGAATGGGAGTTCCACACAAGGAGGGTCTACAAGATTGGTCTTTAGAGTGTAAGCTCCTCAGGGCAGAGCCCTTGTTTCATTTGATTTCTGGTGTGTTATGTGTATCACACTTTTCAGTTAAATTATTATGTTCTATCAAATCCTCACTGCATTTTTTAAAAAATGGAATGACATTACTCATTTGAGGAACAGAGTAACAATATTTTCATGTATGAACGAGGCAGGCTGCACATTTCCAAGGTCCATATGAAACAAAACTATCAATTCAAAAATAGTATGTTTATATAGGCGTGACAAAAAGTGAGTATATTAAAAATGCAGGCTTCCTGTCAGGAACCTTATGGGGTTTCACTCAGACAACCATGCTGCTGCACCAGAACTACTTCACCAAGCTAAGTACTGTACACTACTTATTTAATTTTCTATACTATAACTTCACCATATTTTTCTTAATAAACCACTGTTCCTTCTTATAACCTTGTTTTGTGGGCTTCCTTTTACCAGTTGCATAAGCAGGCACACAAATGGAAACTGTCATTTTGAATAAAGACACCGCTGCGCTACTGACAGTGATATCTTTGTCAGCTATATTGTTCATATAATTAGTATGGAACTGCAAGAGTCATCAACCAGCTCACTCTGTCTGGAAGCAGTAAGTGTACTATACATTGTTCTTACCATGCATGCCTGGCTCAGTCTGTATTCCATTGTTAGTACATCTTGCAAGTTCATGGATGCTCCTTCTCTAAGCTGTCTCAAAGTCATTTTTAAGGATGTAGGAGACATTTTATTAATTACCTGCGGAAGAAATTAAACTTTATTTTTTCTGTCTTCGATTTCTGGTTAAATGGTTTTTGAAAATGTAGACAGGTGGAAAGATATAAAACAACACTTGGCGATACACTTAGCACTTCCATCCCTAAGCCTATCCTCTCCATTTCTATGTAACTCTTACATTCCTCCCCACCACCGTGCTGCTGGACAAAATCATGTTAATTTGCCTGAAAATCTCTGTTATTCCACTTTCACTAACCTCTATCTACAGCATATAAATACAGCAGAGACCCCACACGTCTAAGAAGTAGCATATCTTATAAATGTGATCACCAGCAGGCTTCCAAGTGGCCTCAAAATTGCCCTTGCTGTGCCATAATCTTTTATTTTTCTCTTGTGCCTTGTTTTTCAACACTACAGTCCCTCTTTTAATGGAGAAAATTAGTCTGTCCTCTGAAGCCATGGCTCAATCACAAAACCAGCAACCCACTCCACACAGGGACCCCTGTGCCCAGATAGACCCTCTCTGTATATAACCTGAGTTCTCTGCAGGCACACATTCTACCTCCCATGTCCTCAACAAGTAGTTTTGCAGGACTGGGGCTCAAATCTAGACTAATTTGGTTTGTCAGTAGGACTTCCTGATTCACAGTAGGGTACATGAGAGCATGTGGCCTTTTATATCAGTTTCTTATGAACTATTACACATTTAAGAATTACAGGCGCAATTAAAAAACCTTTTAAAACTGATCATTATTTGCATCATCTGTAGGTACAAGAGATCTTGCAGGTAAGCTGCGGATACAGTATATAGGTTTTATTTAGCGCAACATTCAAAAAAACAGAGCTATGCAAGTTGGCTCAACATTTGAGTTTTCAAAAATGTATTTCTCCTTATACATATTTGCAAACTAATATGCAATTGGTTATGCACTGCTTCCACTAAAATTGGTATGCACTGCTTCCATTAAAAAAAGAAAACAATTGCAGAAGCCTATCACTCATGAGTAACTTTCAATTAAAAACAGACCAGCTGCCATATGGATGAAAAACCACAATAAAGTAATTAGAACTGAGCTCCAAAAATGTCACTAGGGAAGTAGAGGAATGTAAACAAGAGTTCTGGGTTTTGTAATTATGACAAACAGGAGATTAATACGAACATAAGAATGGCCATACTGGGTCAAACCAAAGGTCTATCTAGCCAAGTATCCTGTTCTCCGACACTGTCCAATGCCGGGTGCTTTAGAGGGAACAAGCAGAACAGGTAATCATCAGGTGATCCCTCCTGTCATCCATTCCTAGTTTCTACCAAACAGCAAAAACAGAGTTGGGAAAATTCCTGTCCACCTCAGCTAAAATCCATTCATGGACCTATCCTCCGTGAATTTATTTAGTTCTTTTTAAGGATGTTACAGCATAGTCATACAGAAGCAGCAAGGGGAGTGGAGGCAGGAGCCGGTGTTCATTAGAAGCCAGCTCCCTTCTCATGCCAGCTCCTAAATAGCTGCCTGCTCCGCCTCCCCACCTCCCACAGAGACAGCAGCCGGGGTGAGGAATGGGGGTAGCAGGGAGCCATCTGATCCCACAAAGCCATCTGATCCCCACTCCCGTACTGCTGCTTCTGATAGAGAGGCAGCAGCGCAGGAGGTGCGGGGGACAGGAGGGAACCAGTAAACATGGGAAACCAGTTTTCAAGCTGGCTCCTTGCGCATACCGACTCCCACTGATCCGACTCCCCTTCCACGGGAACCGGTGCTCATAGGGAGCCAGCTTTTAAGTCTCAGTGGGAGCCAACACACGCAGGGAACCGGCTTAAAAGCTGGCTCCCCACGTGTGCCAGCTTCTGTGAAGCCACCTGCTCCCGCCCCCCACCGCGCTGCTGCCTCTGAATCAGAGGCAGCAGCGTGGGTGAAGGGGAGCAGACAGGAGCATTTTGCGTATACCAGCTCCCTCTGAGGCGACTGCCCCTTGCCGCTGCCTCTGATACAGAGGCAGCAGGAAAGGGGAAAATGGGAGCCTGTGCCCTTCCCCGCCCCCCCCGGCCTGTAAATGTCTATCCACTGAAAATTTCAGCAGATACATGTTTACACAAAAACACATGTTAACAGCCCTACTTCTTTTTTGAAACCTGTTATAATCTTGGCCTTCACAACATCCAGTGGAAAAGAGTTCTACAGATTGACACTGTTTTTTAAAATCTTAAAACTGAAGAATTTTATGTCAGCATTAATAAAAGTTCCACACTGTTCATACCATAATAGTATGCTGTGATTTACAAAAGATTGTTTACTATTACAATGGGAAGTGGCAGATGGTAAGATTTACCTACTTATATTATGAATTAGGACATTAAACTCTTAACCCACAGACTGGAATAACAGATTTCCAGTCATCAAATCCAAGAAATTTTCTGGCTCCTCAGTGTTCTGATTTCTCATTCTCTCTCCTGCCAGACGACAGCTCCTAGAGTAATAACCTTGTTTGCCAGTTTACTAATGTCTACTAATTCAACTGCTGTGCAAGCAGTAGATCCTATAAATGTAACTAGTGAGTCAAGCTTTATCACTGTTTTGCCTGTACCTATTAGCTGATTTGAAAGTGGAGCTTTGAACGTGTATTTGGAAAAAAATACAGCCTGACTTGAACTGAAAACTTTTTCATAATTCCTTTAATCATCATGAGCCCATCACTGCTTTTTTGAACTGTAGTTTGTCTAACTCCTTCTCTGACCCACTCCAACTACAATTTGCTGTTCTTCAGATCTGTTCTTCAGATTCTAATACACTACAATTTGCTGTTCTTCAGATCTGTCCAGTGATTCTAATAAAGATCCCTACTTCCTTTCCCCCCCTTAATTCCCTTTTCCTGACCTCATTTCCAGTTAGAGCCCTTTACTCGTTTGCACAGTGGCAAACTCTTGTCTGATGCAGAAATCTTTGCTTATACCAGACTTGTGCCTAGGAGCTTCCTTGGGTGAAATGTGCAAAGTGCATTGTGGGGCACCACTGATCAAAGGAAGCACTGAAGCAGAAAAGATTTAAAAACAGCCGTTTACTATGCTAATGCACACAGAGGCTGCCAAAGAGGTTGGAGGTGGAGGGGGCACTGTTGCTATAAATCATGTAGAAGAAAGGGAAAGAAAGAGAAGCACAAAAGGTGGGTGTAATGCAGAAAAAATGAGTCACCAATGTATCTATAAATAAACTGATAGCATAAAGAGGAAGATCATATCTGGGAAAAAGACTGAAGAGGAACAGATTGCATTAGGAGAAAGAAACATGGGATGCAGATAAGATCTTTTAAAGGGCACTGCCACCCATTCCAGTTTTTATGCAATCTTTATTTCAGTGTAGCCGCCCAGCATACTGCAGGTTGGATTTGCAACAACATTAATGGTCGGTAATTAATCATCATACAGTGAGGGAAGTACGTGTAAGAAATTGAGTCCTCGAATACCAGACTGTTCACTTTTAGTGACATACTTTCAGTGAACTCCAGGCAAGCCACAAATAGGAACATGCTGCCTGGAGTCCGGCACCTAAGCTGTGTTTGAGCGAGAGGACTAGGTACCTGCTTCCCCATACATGAAACAATTCAAGAAGTGTGGTGCAGCTGGCTGCTGCCACCACCTTGCAATTATTAGCCTCCTCTGGCAGATGGGAAATTGAATCTGGGTCTTTCACTTCCCACGCTAGCGCTCTAACCACTTGGATAACAGCTGTGAGAGAGCACCCTCGCCCCATCAATTCTGAATGGACCTGATCCAGTGGGCATGCTAAAAGACCCCCCTACCAGAATGGCAACACAGATGGCTAAATGCCCGTCTTCTCCTGGTTTGCGAATCACTCTGGGCTTAGGCGGGAGATAAGTGTCCAGATACCTAAAGGGACACAACAGTGCAGTGCTCAGAGACAAAACATGGGTGCTGAGGGAACTTTTAGCTTGAAAAATGTAGGCAGTAAGATCAGAGCTGTATAGGACTTCGCAGGAGCTTTGGATCACAGTGATGCCCAAACTGGGACTGGGGTGCCTAAACCTGATACTTAGGTACCTGCATCTGGGGAGTGAACCCTAAGTACTTTTGTGGACACTACCCAAAGGTGTTTATTAATCTGAAGTTTCTCCTATTAACTCATTTTAGGTGCAACTGAAATCAAGGAATCAAAGCTATGCTCCCCTGTATGAATGAGTAATAGGTGGTACTTTTTTTCTTTTTCAAATTATTCAACTTTTTTCAAGCTCTCCTTCCTCCCAAGTAGGTAAAATATTAAACTCCAGACTGCTCTATCAGGACAACATAATCTTTGCTGGGTTTCTAAGCCTAAAAAGGAAAGTTCTGGTGTCTAATGTGGCACTTCCCCCTTAGAACAGAGAGGAGATATTGCTGGCTTGCTAAAAGTCAACTCTATTCATCTGAGATGAACTCATAAGGTTTATTTTGGTTGAACTACACATGGCAATAAAAAAAAATGCTGCCCTATCCAACAGAGTAAAGGAAAACAATGTAAAGAGAACTGTATAGCTACATTTTTCTGTTGGCCCATCAGGAATTATTCTGCTGAAATGCTGATGGGAACTTTGTACATTCTGGTGCCGTAAATGTCAAGTTTTGGGGAGGGCTGTGTGTATTTTCTTTGCTGCTTTTATCATTAATTACTGTGATCCAACAAACCCTGTTGCCAGCTTTGTACCATTATTGGGCCTAACCAAGTGAGTTATAAGATCAAGAATACATATTCCTGCGCATCCAGAAATATAATTTATGCTATCATGTGCCGAAAGTGTCCGTCTGCTATGTACATTGGACAAACGTCTCAGACACTTCGCCAAAGAATCAATGCCCACAAAACATTCCAAGACCATCTATTTTAGAAACATATCCAATCTTGAGATTTTTTTTTTAAATGGTCACTGAAGGAAAATCCACCACAACCCTTCTTCCAATGATTAATTACTCTTACCATTGAAAAATTTGGAGAAGTTCAATGGCCTTTGATGTGTGAGTAATTTTATGTTTGCTA